CGGAAAACCTGTCTGATTGTAGTCGAAACCATGACTCGTCCGAGTTATCCAGATGGAGTAGCTCCGGTTTCAGGGTTGAAACAAGCTGGCCATCCCTAATTACCCTTTGAAACGAGCGTTGCACCCGCTACGGAATAAAAAAGGTACTTGTAACAACAACAGGGGGGTTTGTCTCGATGTCACTGCCGTCTCATGACCTACGGAATTTAATCCCTTGGGTGGCTACCAAGTTCTCACCACGGAATACAGCTACATCGATTTGGTAACGGAAAGAACGTTCACAGCAGGCCGTCCACCGTACGCCAGGACTGGATACCCGACTGGCGACTTTCGCAAGCTGCGGCCACGAAGCGCTTTCAATCTCCGATTTATACCTAGCATCGTATGCAAACTCCTGACCTACGGAACTTAATCCCTTGGGTGGTCGGACGAACCATTCACCACGGAATACAGCAACAGTGCATGAACCCTTTCCCTACTAACTTCATAACTTGGGGTGTTAACGCTAATATAGTGAAGAGAAACAAGCGACGGAGAGATATTGATATAAAAAGAGATGAGATGGATCAACAACCAAAAAATCGTGGTAATTTACCATTAATAGTAATAAGACAAGCGACAATAATTGAACATCCAATTATTATTATTTTTAGAAACTAATTTTATTAATAATGATATTGTTTGATTATTATTATTTCTTGTGTAATTTCGATTTTATCTCCTGGTTTTTCGTCAAGGTTTCTTTCAGTCCAGTGCTTACATTCTTCACACCCTTTGTTTTCTGGCGCGTAATACGTACGACAGAGAGTTGAACAGTTTTCCACACAATTTTTCCATCCACCCCATGCGTTAGTTGCATATGTTAATGGAAGATTATGTTTCATACAACGTAATTCTAATTGTAACTTACAGTGAAACAACTTTTTTAATTATTACCACCTTGTTTATTACAGCAACCGGTTTTGGAGAGATGAGGGAAAGAAGATCCCGTAAGTAACATATATATATATATATGCGTATATAAGTAAAGCGACTATTCCGAGTTTATGTTGTTAACCGTCAGGTGAGAATTCACTGGGGCAGCACGAGTATTTTATATTACAGTCAGGCCTCGATAAGCCGGCCGCATAATTTATATTGTTTAGAGTACTCGATAATATGAATTATGCGGCCGGCTTATCGAGGCCTGACTGTAATATTAGCATGACGTCATTTATTTCCGATGATAGGGGTAATATAAAAATGCATTTTGCAAGGCAATCCTTGACATTCTCACATTTTGATCGCGCGCCCGGTTGGCACTCACACTCGGTATGCTGCCCCCCATGTAATTTATATCCTTGTTCTTTCGCCGGAGTGGACGCTCTTCGTCTGGGCCCTATAACTCTTGCCGAGCCTAGGAAACAACTATCCAGAGAAACAAAAGGTGATGATGGCAGGGTTATAGTTTGATGGACGGACCACGGTTCCAGTGTGGTCTGCCATGGCGGCACACTGGGATTTCCTCTGTAATGGGGGTGACGGCGTTTCTGCGGCTGGATGACCCTAACCCTAACCAACTATCCTGCGCCGGCGGTTTTTTCTCGCTAGGAGTTTCTTTCTTCTAGCTGGTGCGATGAGGTTGTGGTTGAGACAGCGAGGCTAGCACAAGGGATGTAGAGGCTCTGTAGCGATGCGCCAGAGTAATTCGCATATGACTCTTGATGTTAGATGTACAACTCGTCTGTTCTCGGGGTTTGCTGGCGAGTGTTTGTGCTGATAAAGTAGCAATTTCGGTACGATGCTGTGATGAACAAAGCCGTTCTACTGATTTCAGATGTAGAAGAAAAGAAGCTTCTATCTGAGCTCGTATCACGGAAATTCTCAGCTTTTAGGACCGTTACTGATCTGACATTGCAACTAATAATTACTACGATCTAACCGGTTATTACCTGTAAATCTGACCCTATAATATGTGTAGTCTTCCGTTAATTACTATTGTTATTTGATCGCCTATCATTATTAAATAGTGGAATGTACATATATGAACACTGGATTTTTTGTTGTTATGTTATTAACGGCGAAAATTGATTTCGCGCGTTCGAAGGTCAAGCCAACCGTTCAAATCGTACTTCATATTCTGTATCAATTTTTTGCACACACATTGTCAATAATAAACATGTAAATTATATGAGCATTGGATTCTTTGTTGCTATGTTATTGATGATTAACGACGAAAATTGATTTCGCGCGTTCGAAGGATCAAGCCAGCCGTTCGTGCATATTCAAATCGTACCTAATATTCTGTGTCAATTTTCTGCACACACGTTGGCAACAGTTACCGTTAACAAATATGTGAATTTCATGAGCATTGGATTCTTGGTTGTTGAGTTATTTGCGATTGACGACGGAAATTGATTTCGCGCGTTCGAAGAATCGAGCCAGCCGTTCCATGCATATTCAAATCGTACTTAATATTCTGTGCCAATTTTTTGCACACACATTGTCAATGGATACTATTAACATGAACGTGAATTTCATGAGTATTGGATCCTTGGTTGTTGGGTTATTAACGATTGCGACGAAAATTGATTTTACGTGTTCG